TGGAGTTTTTCCGGCGCCTCCGCTCATCCTGCTATATAATTAGTGGAGATGAGCCACACAAGGAGACAGTCATGAGATCTATTCTCGACTCTCTTTTAGAAGGCAAAGCATCCTGGCCAGATGTTCAGGTAAGTAGATGTTTTATTTATTTATATCACCTTTCCCAAGCTCAAAGTGCTTTACAGCAGTAGAACATAACAAGTGTACATGCCCAATGTAGAACCTTCTGAATAATCCATAGTATTGTTAGTCCAATTTTAAAGGAATACATCAACGTTTACTCACACTCAACATGTCAGATCTCTATTGAGATTGAAATTCACACAAACGACAGATAGTTACCTGACCAGTTCACTGATTAATAGTTGTTTAATAGCTTTTCTGTTCACCTACAGGTGACTTTGATCCCCACGTTTGATTCGCTGGCTATGCACCGCTGGTACCAGGAGACCCACGAACGGCAGAGAGATCTAGCGATCACGGTACTTGGGAGCAACAGCACCGTAGCCATGCAGGACGAGACCTTCCCAGCATGCAAAGTGGAGTTTTAAAGACACCTGAAGAATCACACCCCTGCCTGTCACTAGAGCACTTCTGTTCACTTTCAAAATGTTGTCTCTCAGTTTCTCACGTTTTATCTTGAGCAGCAGGATGAAGCATTTCAGTTCCATTCATCAGGAATTACTTATCTGTAATGTTAACACTTCTACACATCTACACTTGCTGCTTATTGAAATGTTAGGATTCTGTGTGAACGGAGTAGACAATGTTGCCATTTCTTTTCTTTATGGCTATTTTTAGCAGTTTTACACTTGTCCATGTGGTTTTATTCATTGCATCTTGTTGATTATCTAGCATCAAGTTTCATCTGAACAGTTTACCATATCTTATGGTCCTACATTACTTATACATTTTGCACAGTTTTGATGCCATTTGGAAAACTATGGCAGAATAGAGTCAGACATGCAGGTTAACACTTGATATTTTATAAATGGCAGATGTATTCCAGTGTTTCACTGTACAGATCCTGCACTCCACAGTATTTTTTTGGTCTGTCAGTGAAACCTTTAGCAAGTTTGTTTTTCTTCTAGAGAGAAAATGAGGGCAATTAAAATATTATGTTTTGTTTACCAGAACTGCACCGCCTTTGTCAATACATGAACAGACACAGCTATACTGGCTAGATAAACACTTCTCTAGTACAGTAATTTGTACCAAATACATTTCCAGATTAAAACATTCAGTGGAAAGTGTGGTTTCGCAGTGTAAGCAAGATAAAATTTTAGTGCATCAAATGACTTAGCAAAGTAAAGTATTTTTTGTGAAGCGTATATGAAAATATATGTAGTGAAAGCCAAGAAACATTTTAATTCTGCATTTATTAAGAGTGGAGAATATTATAGTCTTTGCGTTTTTTTTGTCCCACTTACTTGGCTCCTTTTGGTGGAGACATATTATGTGTACAAAGCTGAATGCCTTTTTGTTCTTGCCATCATCGACAAACACTAAAGCAGCATATCATTCATGACACTTAATTTGAGTTATGAATACTTTTTGCTGATCACCTTGCTTTTCTGATTTTTATTGAATGTCATTTAGACAAGCTCAACCAATGTGTACGTTGTCACAGCAATGGATGCTAAACTTTCTGAGAAATAAAATGTTTAATTGTGATCAGATGGAGACATTTACATAAAAACATTTCCTTATTTGTTTGGACTTTTATAAAGCTGTTAATGGAAAAGTGAATGCTTTACCTTTTCAAAATTGCACTTTTATTTTATTGTATTTTTTTTTTTCTGAGCCGATAAAATGATTTTTCTGAGGTACAAGTATTGTTTCACAGTTTTTTTTTTTTTGTTTTTTTTTACATTTCCCTTACAAGGAGTAACCAGCCACAAAAGAAAACAAATATCATAGTATCATAGCAAGTGTAGTAAATGTCACTAACAGTCTTAAATGTTTCAGTACTGAATTCATAAATGTAAGCATATTTTCAAATGTTAAATAAAATTCGTAAATTATGAATGGAAGTACAGTGTTTTTTTTTTTCTTTTCTTTTTCCTTTTTCCTTTCTGCAATGGTGTAAGGGCTATGAAAATCATACAGAAAAAAATCAAATTTCTTACGGTATGCGTTAATTTGCATGACAGCAAAAAATCTTAAAACTGGATGAAATTCCGTCCTGAAAGTTGATTGGTCAATACGGTTGTGTTGCGATATATTACTCAGCACCTACACCATCATCTCTCTCTAAGCAGCAGTAAGAATCATTTGGGATCTTCCGAAACAAAATTACAAGTATGCTTCTTAGCGAATGTGCTTATAAAATAACGTCTTGAAAGACGTGAAACATTTTTTACTTGGTATTTAATTGTGTTGCTGATTTATATTGGCTTTCCATTTAACAATAATCTATGAAATGGCAGCCCTCTACTGGCCAGATAACAAACACAACAAACTACAGTACTTTCGTTTTCTCAGAATTGAAACATTTCACTTGGTTTCACCGCTCTCTGTTGTAAGTATGTTTTAGTTTGATTTGCAATAACCTACCTTTGTGTTCCTCACAAAAATGTTATGCTAACCGATAATAATAACCCTGGTAATGCACAGACCGATTCTGAAAGTTTGAGAGAGATCTGACATATATGTGATGCAACCTATTCACATCTCGATCCCCAAAAATAATTTACTGTGGCGCCTTGCTGCTACATTTTTTTTCCACTCAGCTGTGGCAATAACGAGTTATGTCGTTTAAACTATATATTTTCTCGTATTTATGACGGTTTAACGAGATGCTTTGTAGTTAAAAACCACATATTCTCTTTAAAACAAATTTTCTCGTCGTAACGAGATGTTAGTAGTTTAAAAGATATACTTTCTTAGATGGTATGTCGTTAAACGAGATACTGTATTGTCGCAATGAGATGTTATGTCGTTAAAACGCTATATTTTGCGGTATTAATGACATGTCATAAAAACTAGGCCTATGTAAAAAAACAACAAAAAAAACCTGTTTTAATTTGATTTGCATTGAGCCACCATGTGCTAAAAAAATACCATAGTTAAAAGTCTAGTAAGTATAATACACTACTAAAAAATCGTGAAAATTTCAGGGTGATGCAAACTAGTCACATATCGACCCCCCATAAAAAGAATTGGTATTATAATATGGTCATAATTTAATGTGAATAATACAATCTTATTATCAAAAGTATGTAATTTTTCGATTTTTTTCTACCCTTGCACAACAATATCAGTATAAATATATTTAAAACGTATTATTTTTTTAATTACAAAGAGAATCTAGAACCATAATTTAACAATAACATATAATACATAGTATATAACATATTATGTACTTTATATATTTATATACTTTTTATATTTTTATATAATCTTGTATCGTGTGCTGCTGTCTTTGATTGCCTTTGATTCTAGACGGATCAGAAAACATTCTCTTCTCTGATCAAAAATGAATCAAGGATTCCGTTTTGGCATACCTGGAGAAGTCAATGTTACCCCATCCCCAGTGTTCAACACACCAGACAGTATATGTCCAGCCTCCTCTTCAGGCTCCAATTATCCTAGCACACCTGAAAATGCAACTCCACCTCCTATTCTTGAAGGTATTATACACATATTCAAACAATATTGCAAATACTTAATCAACTCTAACTGTTCACTTCATGAGGCGATTTCACTCCAGTGCTTCTCTTTCTCCTTACAGTTGTGATACGTTTTCGACACATTATACAGACAGTCGTGTTACTATAAAACGTCAAGAAGCAGCTTCCTCCGTCTCCACTATCCAACAATTCTCGGGAGGGTGAAATCGGGGCTAAATCGGGCTAAAAATCCTATAGTGTGAGCCAGGCTTAAGTCACAAGCTCAAGTCATTGAACTCTTGCCTCTTACCTCTGGTCATCGCTCATTCAAACCAATCCATTCAATAAAACTCCATTGTGTGGATATTACCTGTGTTGTCTCCTTCTGTGTGCTGAAGGAAGACTAGTGCGGATCCATTTGTCCAATCCAACATCCAAATAGTGTTCATCGTCTTTAATTGATTTTTCCATACATTTCTGCCATATGTACATTAACTGACAGTCATCACTGATAAGCTACCACTAAATATTGTAGAAAATTAATTTGCTGTAAAGTTGCTTTGCAACGATTTGTATCGTAAAAAGCGCTATACAAATAAACTTGAATTGAATTGAACTGAATTTGCTGAGCTCATACAAGCCATCCATTAGGGCTGCCCCCTAATAGACGACTAACCGTTGACCAGAAGAGGCTTGGTCGACCAAAATTTGATTAGTCGCTTAGTCACAGAACAAAAAAAAAAAAACTCCACATTGGCGAAGTCACGTAGATCGTTAACGGCTGGTACAAAATACAATTAATTAATAAAGAATATTTGGTAACACTTTATTTTAAGGTGTCCTAGTCACACATGTTACATGTAGTTATTATTATAATAACAATAAATTATGCATAATTACATGCAAGTAACCCTATGCCAAACACTCACAGAAAAAAAAAAAAAAAACTCCACATTGGCGAAGTCACGTAGATCGTTAACGGCTGGTACAAAATACAATTAATTAATAAAGAATATTTGGTAACACTTTATTTTAAGGTGTCCTAGTCACACATGTTACATGTAGTTATTATTATAATAACAATAAATTATGCATAATTACATGCAAGTAACCCTATGCCAAACACTAATCCTAACCCTAAACATATAGTTAGTACAAGTAGTTAATTAATATCAGTACTTAAATGTATAATTAAGGACAAGGACACCTTAAAATAAAGTGTAACCAAATTATTTTAGTATATTAAGTACAAAATCAGTGGAAGTGCACATTTTTTTCACCTGGGCAATGTTTCCCTCTGTCAACATATTATCATCTATGATGATGTCAAGGGGTTGGAAAATTTAATCCAGAAAGCCATCCGCATCTCCCAGTGCCTCACAGCCTGCAATGTGGACCTACCTGCTGCATCTCCTCTGCCCGCTACAACTTCTGCCTCACCTCCAGCACCAGAACACATCCAGATCGATTCCTACCATCCCACTTGTACAGAATGTCAACAGAGAATTACCAAAGGTCTCTGTTTGTACGCCACAAAAACCCCAGTGTTAAATTAACTCACCTCAGAGTTTGAGTCCACACTCAAGAGTGTTAAAATTAACACTGAAGCAGAGTTAAAGTTAATAAGGTAATTAAGTGATTAATTGAATGTTGATTGACCATTAGTGAAGACACCTGATGTTAACAAGCAGAATCACTGAAGGAAAGAGTCAACATTTTTAAGGCTACATCCACACGAATCCAGAGCTTTCCCTATCCAATCTTTTTTTCCCTCGTCTCAAGAAATATTTGCGTCCACACGAAACCACGGAACTGACACAAAACGATGTAGTATACATGCCAGACCAGCATGTGGTGCTGTAATTCTGCCACAGAGATACACTAAAAACAGAGAAGATGACTTGGACAGTGCACATAAACCTTGCGCGTGGTATACAAACGAACATGGAACAATACATGTATTAATCTGTGTTAATGTTAGTTAATAAAAAGACAATCGTTCAGTGTTTGTTCATGTTTTTGTTGCTGTTACGTGACGTAGCGGTGTCTGACTTGGGGCGAGACGTGGGCTGCTGACGTCATAGTTTCAGAAAATATCCCTTCAAAGGGTTTACCCTCCAGAGTGAGAGCTTTGAAGGGTTGAAGGGGGTAGGGGACCAAACAACTGTTCCTTAAAGTGTCCTTCTGCGTCAATATGCCGTGCCCATATGGAGGCGCCGTCATCATGGAAAGAATCAGTGCAAAGAATTAGGGCTGCAACAACTAATCGATAAAATCGATTATTATCGATAATGGAAATAATCGACAATGATACTCATTATCAATTAGTCGGGTCTGCCCACAGTGCACGTCTAACTTCAGCTGGTCGCGTCAAATTAAAGCACTGAATTACAAAATGCATCTAAAAATAGTGGAGGAAACAGAATGAGATGCTGCGGGAGAAGGACGTGATCCAAGCTGCCCAAAACATTAGAATTATTTATTTTAAGTTTTAAACTAGCGTAGGCTAATGGCTTGCCCTGTCAGGAAGTTTGACAGATGCGTGTGCATCCTCAGCGCAAAAACTTTCAGTTTACGGTCACATGCTTAACTGTAAATGTCACAAATTTACGCAAGCATTTCCATTTTTTGCATAAAGGCCCGCCCTGACAATCTGCATTAAGTTTAAATCTGAATAAGCGTGCGCACAAATTTAGGTTTAAAAGTAAACATGTAGTGCACGCATTTTATGAGAGTAGGAACTGATAACGGCGTGTCTGAATATAAATATCAGACGATTCATAACCGTCTTTTATAGGATAAAGAAATGACACTAAGACGTGACTGTGATCAAAGTGAACGTGTGTTCCTGCAGAACATTACTCTCACCTGTTGGTCAACACTGAGTTTGTGATTTTATTCGTCTTTATTATCTTTATTATTATTTAAATTTTTAATGTAGAGATTTAAACTATATTCACTATACAGTGCTTAACAAATTGATTAAAACAAAATTTATGTAAGGTTTTTAACAAATGAGGTAAGCTTTGTGCCACTGCTACTCTAAACTAAAAGTATTGGTGATTACCAAAATATTTTTTTTCGCTTTCTGTGGTTAGACCTTCAATTTGTGTACACTCTTTAGTAACAGTAGGCTATTTCTAATGCTATAATATGATTATTGCTGTTGTCTATGAAAGAGAGGCAGAAAAAATAGTCAAGCACTTTATAGTGTTTTTTCCAGATGCCCAATTACAGTCAAAAAGTACCTAAACAATGGCAGCAAGAATGCAAGCTGTTATGAAAGGCATATTTATGTTATGAGAGGCCATTTTTGTTATTATGTAAATAAATACTATTTATTTGTTTCAGTTTGTTATTTGCCCAATAAATGGCATTAACATTTTTAGATTTAAACAATTTTTTGACAGATTCCTAAAATATTTGTGTTTTCTCTTTATGACAGGTGGTCTAATAAATTAAGCACTGTATGTTTTCATAGCATTCAGTTGGCACGTTTGTTTGAAGGACATTGGGCAGAATGTGGAATAGTGTGTTTTTTTGTCAATAAAACAAACAAAAAAGAAAATTGGGCTTTTTTTATCTGATTAATCGATTAATCAAAAAAAATTATCGGCCAACTAATTGATTATCAAAATAATCGTTAGTTGCAGCCCCACAAAGAATCATGGGGGGCTCGAAGTGTCCATCAGTCGTACCCTTTGAAATCCTTAATTCCGAAGGGCCCTTTGAAGTGGCCAGTTTTGAGCACTTCGGTTTGGAACGACCCTTCAATATGGCGGCCATGATTGTTTTCACTCCGAAGTGCCCTTCGGAGGGCGATATATCCCGTTTGGAATGCACCATATGATGGTGGTCAAAACCTGTCAACAACCACTTAATATAAGGTGGGGGTGTGACTGCTGAAGTCATCCTGGGACGCCGGTGGTTAACTCAGCACTCCCCTAATGTGAAGTGGAACACTGGTGAGATCGTCCAATGGAGTGACTACTGTTTCCAGTACTGTGTGTCGTCTGTTCACAAGCCACCCACACATCCTTTATCTTCTCAGCCGAGAAAAGTAACCCTCTGCTCCACTTCGATTGAGAGTCCAGAAACCTCCAACTCTCCTGAAATTCCACTAAACTACCGGGTGTTCAGCAAACAGGCTGCCACAGAATTACCACCTCATTGGCCATGGGACTGTGTCATCGACCTGCTGCCTGGGGCCACACTACCCAAAGGCCATATTTACCCACTGTCCATCCGGGAACAGAAGGCCATGGAGGAGTACAAAGAGGAGGCTCTCAAACAGGAATCCATTCGTTCTTCTATGTCTCCAGCGGCATCTAGCTTTTTATACTTTTTCTTTTTTTCTCTAATATAGTTATCATTATAGTTATCATTATCGTCTTTGGTGTGAAGGGCCCATGCATGTGCCTGTATATTTTACAGTTCATAAACTTATATACTATTAAATTGAATAATATTATTATTCAAATCTAAACTTAAAGAGCAGGTCACATGGTATTTTAAAGTGTCCTAATATTGTGTGGAGCTACAACAGGGTTAAATGCATCTAAGGTCAGAAAACATTGTAATTTTCTCAGAATATATTGAACACATGTACACATTCAAACAAAAATATATAATAATAATAATGCTGGGTTGTTTCAAATATGGACTAACCCAGCTGTCGGGTTACATTTTTAAATAAAAATGTTAACCCAAAAGTTGGGTTAGTCCATATTTGACCCAAAGTTGGTTTGAAACAACCCAGCATTTTTTAGAGTGTAGGTATACATCACATATTAGCACAAAAACTTGATATTTCGAGCACTCAATTGAAAATGTACACATAACATATAGTTCATATTTCGTGGGCAGGCGGGGATTATGCAAATGTGTTACCCAGTGACGTATACCGGTAACAGGCAAAAGATCCGAAAATATGACGACTCGTTAAGGCGATTCAGAATCGACTCTCTCTTTTGAGAGACAATATCTTTATTTATCATGCACTTTTTTGATTAACAACTTTGCAGATTGTTTTCATTTAAGGATAGCTACGTTATAAACTGCAAAAGAGATATTTTTCAAAAACCCATATGACCTGCTCTTTAAGGAAAATATCAAATGTAGTAATATTAAGACAAATAATTGTTTCCAAATTTAAATAATTGGCTTTTAAATTGTCATTTGTTACAAATTTGGAAAGCACAATGAATATTACATTTAGTGAATGTGAACATAAAAACAATGACAATAAGATATTAATTTCATTAAAATCTTAAATATTCCACCTCAAATGCACTTCTGCCCAGTATAAAAACCCATGAACTAAATAACATAAAATGTAACATAGAACATATGAGTGCCCATAATTATTAAAGAAAAGAAAGTAACCATTTACATAAAAAAACAAAAAAAATCCAGGTATACTGTAATGTGTCATTCTGGGAATTATAAGGTGATTCATGTTTTTAAAACATAAGAGTTACAATATTTTAGAAAGTAACGAAGTACACATTTTTTACAGTATTTTACAGACAAATTTCATTATCTTTTGAAATGTAACTGTTTGCATGATAGTTATCAATTAACAAGCTTTTACTGTACTGTAGAACATTACTTTTTATATTAAAATTACAAGTATTTTACAGTGAACTCATAACTCAATGTTGACAAAATGTGTAGTTGTTAACAGTACAGTTACTACTGTATTCCAGTAAAACATTGCTTTGCCACTGCAGTTTAGTCCTGAGCAGCCGATTGGAGCAGAGACTGTGGGCTTCTTAAGGAAACCGAGCACTAATGATAAAGTGCACTGTGTGGTGTTTGTAATAGATGGCTCTAAAGTCGGTTCATACGCCAAAAGCTTTGCCGCGACTTTCCAGCAGTTAAGAGAACACATTAGCAACTTAGGTGAGTTGTGTTTGAAGCATGAATCATATGTGCAACACTTACTTCCAAAGAAAGCATTCTCACAATAAAAAATGGGATGAACAGAACAAAAAAGTATTTTAAAGAAAAAAATCTTAATCGTTATAGTTTATTTATAGTTATCATTTTTGGTGTGAACAGGTCTTTGATGCTTCACTTAATAGTCTTTAGCCATGTTTCATACTGTATATATTAGGGGTGTAACGGTACACAAACACGACGGTTCTGTACGTACCTTGGTTTTGACGTCACGGTTCAGTATGGTTTCGGTACAGCAGGAGGGAAAAAACTAAACTTTTTTTAAATTAAACAATGGTTTACTGAATAAATTGCTCTTTTATAAAATACATTCAATTATAATTAATATTTTCTTAAGGATAAAAATCTACCTCAGCTTCTGCTCTAAATCATAGGTATCCCTTTTACATTACTATAAGGTTACAATTAACAACAGAGCCCAAACTTAAATGACTATTTATTTTTAACTATAATAATCAGCACTCAAATAATAAAAAAAATGTATGCAAACATGTAAATTGCACATAATGCAGTTTTTAAATGAACCTTTAAATTCTATTTGTTGTTGAAATATAATCATTTACATAGTGGCTTGTCATAACTTGTTTCGTAAAAGATTTATTTAAAACGTACATTAAATAATTAAGGCATCACTATCAGGTAAAGTAAAATATAACGAGTATAGTCTAATATTTCTCAAAATGCCCTTCTCTAGACTTAATTTCTCTAGGAAACTGACGAGCTGTAGACACTGATGATTACACGAGGCATGAGATGTTCATTCATGTTTATTTCGCGTTAAAACTAGTAGTATAAAGAGGAAGGGATGATCGCGCTCACTCGCGCTCCATGCTGCCGTCAGAGCTGAGGCTTCTATACAGAGATCTGTCACGCCACATCAAAGAGTGCCAAAATGGCATTGTCTGAATTTCCTGAAAAAAATTAATGATTCGAACACGTAAAGACGGAAAATTTTCGTCACGAATACGTGTACCGTTACACCTCTAGTATATATTATTATTAAGAATCTATGGCCTGGTAAATTTCCGAACATTTTCGGCACCAATACGTGTACCATTACACCGCTAGTATATATTATTATTAAGAATCTATGGCCTGGTAAATTACCGAAAATTTTCGGCACGAATACGTCTACCGTTACACCTCTAGTAGATATTATTATTAAGAATCTATGGCCTGGTAAATTACCGAAAATTTTCAGCACGAATACGTGTACCGTTACACCTCTAGTATATATTATTATTAAGAATCTATGGCCTGGTAAATTACCGAAAATTTTCAGCACGAATACGTGTACCGTTACACCTCTAGTATATATTATTATTAAGAATCTATGGCCTGGTAAATTACCGAAAATTTTCAGCACGAATACGTGTACCGTTACACCTCTAGTATATATTATTATTAAGAATCTATGGCCTGGTAAATTACCGAAAATTTTCAGCACGAATACGTGTACCGTTACACCTCTAGTAGATATTATTATTAAGAATCTATGGCCTGGTAAATTACCGAAAATTTTCAGCACGAATACGTGTACCGTTACACCTCTAGTAGATATTATTATTAAGAATCTATGGCCTGGCAAATTACCGAAAATTTTCGGCACGAATACGTGTACCGTTACACCTCTAGTATATATTATTATTAAGAATCTATGGCCTGGCAAATTACCGAAAATTTTCGGCACGAATACGTGTACCGTTACACCTCTAGTAGATATTATTATTAAGAATCTATGGCCTGGCAAATTACCGAAAATTTTCGGCACGAATACGTGTACCATTACACCTCTAGTATATATTATTAGTACATTTCCGAACATTTTCGGCACGAATACGTGTACCGTTACACCTCTAGTATATATTATTATTAAGAAACTATGGCCTGGTTTCACAGATAGGGCTTAGGTTAAACCAGAATTAGGCAATAGTTGAATTAGGACATTTAAGTAGTTTTTAATAAAGGTGCCTTAGAAAAAAAAAACATCAGTGGTGTGCATCTTGAGACAAAACAAAGGCACTGACATATTTTAAGAGCTGTTAGTGTAAGTTTCTTTCAATTGAAACAGCTCAGAATCACATTTGCCTTGTCTGTGAAACCGGGGGTAGAACTGTGAAAAATCTAATATCACTGTCTGAATTGCAGTTGTACACCAGGTGGCGTTACTGACCCATGTGGACCAGGTTTGTAACGCTACCGGAAGTGACATTACCAAGGTTTACAAGAGCAAGGCCATTCAGCAGGCGGTATGTCATGCTTGATTATAATGTTTACATCTGAATGCTTCACTTTGCCATGTTCTGCTGTTTGAGCGTCACACGATTCCTTCTGTCTTTACTGATCTCTCTTAGATGGTGAAGGCTGGAGAGCTGCTGGGAATGGCCACATCCTACATCGTCCCAGTGAAGAGCTACTGCTCAGAGCTGGATCTGGATGAAAACACTGATATTCTGCTGCTCAAAGCTGTTGATCATATCTTACAATATGTGAATCTGTATTTTCAAGACGACAGCGATTAAAGCAGAGCTTCTGAACTCTGGCCGTCCAGATGCACTTTCCTGCAGAGTTTTGCTCCAGTCTCGATCAAATCTGCCTGCCTGTAACTTTCTAGTGATCCTGAAGACCGTGATTATTTTGTTCAGGTGTGTTTGATAATGGTTGGAGCTAAACTCTGCAGGAAATAGTGGACCTCGAGTGTCAGAGTCGAGAACCCCCTGATTAAAGCATTACAATTTCAGAGGTACTTCAAAAAAAAAAAAAAGAAAAAAAAAGTAAATCTGCGTGCTATGTTTTCCATTCGGAGAAATACTGCCCTGTTATTTCCATACGTGACCCTCTGTGATCGAGAGGCATCTGCTAAAGCAGTGCACTTTTTGTTTGGTCGTGTTCACCCTTTGTTGCTCTCTATGAGCTCTTCAGAGGATAGTTCACCCAAAAAGGAAAATTCTGTCATCATTTACTCACCCTCATGTTGTTCTGAACCTGTATGAGCTTTCTTCGTATGTTGAACACAGAAGATATTTTGAAGATTGCTGGTGATCAAACAGTTGGTGGTTGCCATTGACTTCCATAGGAGAAAAGAAAATACTATGGAAGTCAATGGCAACCACCAACTGTGCTGCGTCGAACCCGGGTCAACTTCGCACTGCGGCAGCCGAAAATAGTTGAGCTTAACTTCCCTTGGAAGACTTTCAGAATCAGAGAGGAACATTTAAAAGATGAAAAAGAGGAATTAAGGAGAATCAATCAATTTGGAATAAATTATTGATGTTGTGTAAATAATATGTTATCATTTAATCCTTAAAAACGTAACTGATTATTTCAAATGTAATTTAATCTAATTACAAGTACTTGTACTACAAGATTGTGATCTAGATTAGCCTACATGTGATCAGTTACTACCCAGCTCTGGTTGTAATAATGTAATGCATTATTATATGACATATAAATACTCATGACACTAATATTTTGGTCTAGTTGTTCTTTGTAGTGGTTTGATGTCTTTTGTATTTTACACTTAAAGGGATAGTTCACCCAAAAAGGAAAATTCTGTCA